TGCAAGAGGTACCGACTTTACATCAACCTGAAATCTATCATCTCAGGGTTAATTTGATTGAAGGATTTCATACGGAACAAAGAAATGCTCAAAGAGCAAAGAAAGAATGAAAGAAAGGATTTGGAGCAAAGAAATGCCCATAATTATTTGATGAAAACAGATTACTCATTAGAGTCGGAAAATCAGATTCCGCTTATTTGGAATACAAATTTAACGACACTGAAATGACCTCGAGTTTCGGTGAAGTGGATAGAACAATGTAAATTGTGAGTGCAATGAATGCACAGAATAAAACGGCGAGACACCAAAGCAATAACGGCGTGACCGGACCCCTTCGTATATTACAATTATTGGTGAATTCTGTAAAGATTGAATTGAGCGATAAATTTGGTGTAACTGAGCACGTTTCCACTGTGCTCATTGTTCACTAAAAGCTGGACTTTTTTTCGTGATCACTGGACATGAGAACAGCTGAGAGAAGATTTTTAGAAGTTCAAAGGCAACTCAGACACTATTCCGAGGTCGAAATAACCGAGTTTTTCATAAGCAGTTTAAAGAATTTTTGAAAAGGATAACGAATGCGACATTTTCGCATTTGGAGCTTGCCAATCTCGATATCCCCACCTTTCAAAAAAAAACTTCACGATAGCACCTATCAAAAAATGCATTTCAACAGAAAAAGATTTTATTCTTCAAATTCGAATTTCTTGAAGTTTCACTGCTCAAACGAATATCACATACCATTACAATTGTCACCCGATGGCGATGTCTCACCAAAATATGCCTCATCCAACTGAAATTTTAACAGTTGATAGAACTCGTTATGAGTTTTCAAGCAAGTAACAATGATGAAGAAGACGCGTTGAACTTTGATGCTCACACTTCGATTCACATTGTAATAATCAAAGAAAAAACAACAAAAAGCTAAGATCAATCGGAGCAACGAAAGATACCTCTTCATCGTTGGTGAAACCGAGAGCCCAATTCTGCAAATCCGAATTCACCGAATTTAGAAGATCACCGAGTTCAACCTTCAAGTAAGTTTATCTCATAAAATTGATAATTTCATTGAATAATTCAATCTTCTATGATTCATTCCAGTATTTTTTTCTATTAATACCATCAAGCATAACTTTCAGTCTATGTTGCGTAGCAGGAAATAACACCAATGTCAGAAGTTCATTTGAAAATCTCTGAACAGAGCGATTTTCTCGGGCAACAAGCTGATTTTAAAAAAATTATTCAAGAGAATCGACTAGAGACGGAGCAGAACGACTCTTGTCACCAGTGCATCAAGGAATGATAGAACTATTATGCTGGCTTTCAGTGATAAATTTGATCATTATCA